AGATCGCACCATTGCACTCCAGCCTGGGTAACAAGAGTGAAACTCTGTCTAAAAAAAAACAAACAAACAAACAAAAAAAAAAGATTTTCATTCTACCTGGCTGGGCGCAGTGGCTCACGCCTATAATCCCAGCACTTTGGGAGGCTGAGGCAGGTGTATCACCTGAGGTCAGGAGTTTGAGACCAGCTGGCTAACATGGAGAAACCTGTCTCTACTAAAAATACAAAAATTAGCCAGGTCTGGTTGCGCTTGCCTGTAGTTCCAGCTACTTGGGAGGCTGAGGCAGGAGAATTGCTTGAAACTGGGAGGTGGAGGTTGCAATGAGCCGATGTGGTGCCACTTCACTCCTTAAGACATTTTTATTTTGAAATAATCTCATACTTAAGAAAAGTTTACTGCCGGGTGTGCTCTCATGCCTGTAATCCCAGCACTTTGGGAGGCTGAGGTGGGCGGATCATAAGCTCAGGAGATCGAGACCATCCTGGCTAACATGGTGAAACCCTTTCTCTACTAAAAATAACAAAAAATTAGCTGGATGTGATGGTGCACACCTGTAGTTCCAGCTACTTGGGAGGCTGAGGCAGGAGAATTGCTTGAACCTGGGAGGTGGAGGTTGCAGTGAGCTGAGATTGTACCCTGCACTTCAGCCTGGGTGACAGAGCAAGACTCCGTCTCAAAAAAAGAAGTTTGTGCCTGTAATCCTAGCATTTTGGGAGGCCGAGGTGTGAGCCCAGAAGTTTGAGACTACCCTGGGCAACATGGCAAACCCCCATCTCTACCTAAAATACAAAAATTAGCTGGGCATGGAGGTGTGCACTTGTAGTCCCTCCTGGCTACTCAGGACGCTGAAGTAGAAGAATTGGGCCTGGAAGGTTGAGGTTGCAATGAGCTGAGATCTTGCCATTGCACTCCAGCCTGGGTGATGGAGTAAGACCCTGTCTCAAAAAAAAAAAGTTTTTTTCCGGCCAGGCGTGGTTGCTCGCGCCTATAATCCCAGCACTTTGGGAGACTGAGGCAGGCGGATCATAAGGTCAAGAGATGGAGACCATCCTGGCCAATGGTGAAACTCTGTCTCTACTGAAAATACAAAAAATTAGCTGGGCGTAGTGGCATATGCCTGTAGTCCCTGCTACTCAGGAGGCTGAGGCAGGAGAATCGCTTGAATGTGGGAGGCAGAGGTTGCAGTAAGCCAAGATTGCACTTCTACACTCTAGCCTGGTGACAGAGTGAGACTTCATGTCAAAAAAAAAAAATGGCCGGGCGCGGTGGCTCACGCCTGTAATCCCAGCACTTTGGGAGGCCGAGGCAGGTGGATCATGAGGTCGAGATCGAGACCATCCTGGTCAACATGGTGAAACCCCGTCTCTACTAAAAATACAAAAAATTAGCTGGGCATGGTGGTGCGTGCCTGTAATCCCAGCTACTCAGGAGGCTGAGGCAGGAGAATTGCCTGAACCCAGGAGGCGGAGGTTGCGGTGAGTCGAGATCGCGCCATTGCACTCCAGCCTGGGTAACATGAGTGAAACTCTGTCTCAGAAAAAAAAAAAAAGAAAAAAAAAAGTTACCAAAATAGCAAAAAGCATTAATGTATACTCCTCACCTAGATTTCCCAAATGTTAACATTTTGTCATGTTTACATTAATATCTTTTTTCTCTAAAGATGTATACATTTATGTATGTTAATATATTTAAACATAAACATAGATTCAAATTGTCCTGAATATGAGCTCACAGATACAGTATTCTTACTAAAATTTTCCCAGCGTCCTATAGAAAAAAATATCCAGGCTGGGCGCTTTTCCAATGTCCTTATAGAAAAGAATTTGCAGGCCAGGCCGAGTGGCTCACATCTGTAATCCCAGCACTTTGGAAGGCTGAGGTGGGCAGATCACGAGGTCAGGAGTTGAAGACCAGCCTGGCCAATACGGTGAAACCCTGTCTCTACTAATACAAAAAATTAGCCAGCCTGGGCAATAGAGCAAGACTCCGTCTCAAGAAAAAAAAAAAAAGATCCAGTGGAAGATCCAAATCAGGATCCCATGTTGTATTTAGTTATCATATCTCTTTAGCCTTCTTTTTTTTTGAGACGGAGTTTTGATCTTGTTGCCCAGGTTGGAGTGCAATGGCACACAGTCTCAGCTCACTGCCACCTCCGCCTCCTTGGTTCAAGGGATTCTCCTGCCTCAGCCTCCCAAGTAGCTGGGATTACAGGCACGCACCACCATGCCCAGCCCTCCCAAAGTACTGTGATTACAGGCATGAGCCACCATGCCAGGCCTTTTTTTTTTTTTTTTAAGACGAAGTCTCACTTGCGCAGGCTGGAGTGCAGTGGTGTGATCTCAGCTTACTGCAACCTCTGCCTCCCGAGTAGCTGGGATTATAGGAACTTACCACCACACCTGGCTAATTTTTGTATTTTTAGTAGAGATGGGGTTTCACCATGTTGGCCGAGCTGGTCTCGAACTCTTGACCTCAGGTGATCTGCCCCCCACCTTGGCCTCCCAAAGTGCGGGGATTACAGGCGTGTGCCACTGCTCCAGGCCTCTGAAGTATCTTTTTTTTTTATTGACATGGAGCTCTCTCTGTCACCAGGCTGGAGTGCAGTGGCGTGATCTTAGCTCACTGCAACCTCTGCTTCCGGGGTTCAAGCGATTCTCCTACCTCAGCCTCCAGAGTAGTTGGGACTACAGGCAGGCGCCACCACAACCAGCTAATTTTTGTAGTTTTAGTAGAGATGAGGTTTTGCCATATTGGCCAGGATGGTCTCAATCTCTTGACCTTCTGATCCGCCCGCCTTGGCCTCCCAAAGTGGTGAGATTACAGGCGTGGGCCACCTTACCCGGCCTTAGTATCTTTTAATCTGGAATAGTTTTTCAGTCTTTGTCCATGACATTGATATTGTTGAAGCATATAGACCAGTTGTTTTGTAGAATTTCCCTCAGTTTGGGTTTGTTGGTTATTTTCTCATGCTTAGGTAATGCTTTTTTTGTTTTTTTGCTTTGAGATGGAGTCTCACTCTCGCCCAGGCAGGAGTGCAGTGGCGTGATCCTGGCTCATTGCAACCTCTATCTTCCAGGTTCAAGCGATTCTCCTGCCTCAGCCTTTGGAGTAGCTGGGATTACAGGCGCCTGTGACCACGCCTGGATAATTTTGTATTTTTAGTAGAGATGGGGTTTCGCCATGTTGGCCAGGCTGGTGTTGTACTCCTGCCCTCAGGTGATCCACCCACGTTGGCCTCCCAAAGTGCTGGGATTACAGGCATGAACCATTGTGCCCAGCGATTTTCTCCAGCTCTCCTGATAACCTTCCCCCAAATCTCTTTGTAGCTTCTTTGGTTTCTATGATGCAAATGAGACGGTCTTGGAGATGGAGGAGCAACTGGTGAGCCCCCCTGGGATTACTTTCCCTTCCATCCACTGTCCCGCCTCATTCTGGAGCCCTCTCTGTGACTCCTGAGCTGAAGGGTTTACCCTGTGGGGAGGAGGTTTACATGCCGGCAGTAACTCACTTTGTCTCTCCTTGTGTCTCTCTTCCATGCTTCCACGCCCCTTCGACCACCTTGAAGGTTTATCTGCGAGATTCTTTTGGGTTGAAGACTCTATTGGCCCGTGGGGCCATAGTGAGGTGTCCAATGGCCGGGATTTCCCACACAGCCTGGCACTCCAATCGTACCCTTTATGAGACCTGCATTGAACCTTGGCTCTCCTGAGGATATATTCAGGGGTCCCCAGGAAATCTCTAGTCCAGAGACCAAGTGGTGGCCTTGGAAAGCAGATGCCAGGCTCTGGTGTGCCTGTGACCACCTCATTGCTCCACACTACCCCCACCAACCTGGACTCCCAGAAGCCCTCTCCTCTGCTCCTCTGTGAATGACAAGTTCTGGCCTCCCCTACCTCATGTCCTCTCATTTGGGGGGTTGCTCCATGCTCTCCCTTTCTCTCAAGGTCGAAGTTGGGAAGTGAGAAACCATGTTTTTAACTTGTGGCTGCTTTTGCTGCTGCTGCTTCTCCGTATCTGGCTGTACGGGAGGAGAACCCACCCCCTGCCTACCACAGGGGTCTCCTTCCAGGCCACTCAGGACATTTTTAGCTTCTATTCTTCCCATATTCCCTTTTTTCTCTGAAGTCCTCTGTCATCAGCCCTCCCAACCCCTAAGAGGGACTACCCATGAGAGTGGGGTTTCTGAGGCTCCCCTATGGGGACAGTTCCGTTCCTGAAGTGTCAGTGTTGGGGAATATCTGTGGCCTGTGAGGCCCATCTCAGGTTTGGGGATCCCCCAGTCCCTATGATCAGTGTTGGAGTAACCCCTGGGAGCCTAGTTTCTTTGAGGCCCCAGGCCCTCTTTTAACTTCCCTTGAATGGGTGTTACCCCTGTATTTATAGAAATAAAGTTCCATTTCCTCAGTGTGACTTGGCTCATTTCCAGGTGGAGGGGACCTGGCTCCCTAAGGAGGGTGTGGACAGAGCTGAGGCCTGGGTGCCCAGATTCCTGGTCTAGGGTGGGGACCCCCTTGGTGTTTCCGCTCTCTCTCAATGCCCATTCTTTGTGGGTTCCTGATCCTCTGCGGGTTCTTTCCTGCCGAAGACAATTCTCTTCCTCTCCCAGTCCCCAAGATTGGGGGGCTAAGCTCAGGGCTCCAGTGGTTTGGGCCTCAGCCTCATGGGTGGAATGCGCTTGCCACCCCCAGGCTAGACGAGGGGGCCGAGGGTCAGGGTGGGCATTTGTTGTGCCCCTTTTGAGCTTTGTGGGCCAGAGCTGGGTGTAGGGCTGGACAATGAGCCTTCTCTTCTTGAAAGAAGAAATTTTGGCTGAGACAATAGAGCCCTGTCTGCTCTGGCATGGGGGGTGGTGGCTGACTCAATTTTGTTCCCCCTAAGCCCTAACAAATGTCATCAAGAGAGGGGGACAGTTTCCCCCTTGGTGCCCTGGGCTGCCCTCCTGCCCCTTTGTGACGACTTGCCCTTCTGTCTTTCCTCAGCTGATCTTGCTTCTCCCATGACCTGACCTGCTTTGTTCCTTGCAGCTGTTTCTCTCCCTGCCCCCCAACTCTCCCCTAGTCTGTGTAGTGTTAAAGGGGGTACTGGTGGTGTTACAGAGCTTGTATCTTCTGATTTGGGGAGTCCAGAAATGGGCCTCACAGGGTTGGAAAGACACTTCTAGGGAGCTCTTTGTTGGGGTGGAGATGAGGGTAGAGGGACTTGACCCTACTAAGCTGACCCAGCTGGAGCTGAGGAGGAGGCTTGTGGGAGGGGGCAGGAATGGGAGGACTCTGGCCCAGCCCCTCCTCTCCTTCTTAGCCCGCCAGGTCTACCCACTAGTCTGAGCTGCTTCTGCTGAGGCTGCTCTGCCTGAAGCCTCGTAGGAGAAAGAAGCCAGGTGGGAATGGGGAGATAATTTCAATGGGGAAAGAGTGGGGTTTACTCAGAGACTTGGGGGGGGCATGAGTTGAGGGGTGTTTTGTTGGAGCAAGGGATGAGCATTTAGGGTGTATGTAATGGTGTGTGAGGGGAGTAGCAGTGTGTGTAAGGTGTGGTTTCCAGGTGCTTGGTTTGTGTGTATGGTGTGAGGGTGTATAGCTAGCGTTTTGAAGGTATGAAGTTATAAGAGAGCATGTTAAAGACAGGAGTGCCATAAGGGGAGGGTTGACTGTCCCTCCAGATTGTGCAGAGGGCATTAGAAGTAAAAAGGTTAGAGCGGAGGTGGAGGGGGTGTGCTGGGGTGTGAGTTTTATGATGCTGAATGGATCATGATATGCTAAGGATAGGATAGTGTTGGGTGTACACACAGGTGTAGGCAATCCTGGTGGCTAGTATGTAAAAGTGAATGTCCTGACTCCCTTAGAGGGCACCAGCAGAGTGCCCTTGGAGGGGCTAGTGCTGGAGAAATTAATAGGAGAATGGCATCCATTAACCTTTTCTTTCGTGCAGCCCAAAGGGTCCGGAGTCAAAGAGAATCATGGGGTCCAGGGCTGAGCTGTGCACTCTATTAGGCGGACTCTCGTTCCTCCTGCTACTGATGTCAGGCAAGGGGGCCAAGGGTGGAGATCTCAGAGAGAGGTGACAACAGTGGGGGTGGGGCCTGGGGTGACCTCTTCTCGGGAGCCTTCTATTGGGGGTGGGACTTCACAGGCAAACAGAACTGTGAGTTTAGAAGGGGGGTGAGAGGCTGTCATCTGGAGGGACAGCGGGGTCTCAATAGCCCGTTGAGGGAAGTGGGACTCCTGGCTCCCCAGGGCCTGGCCTACTCAATCTCTCCCACCTCATCCTCTGGCATGGACGCAGTCCGGGAGTCTGCTCCAAGCAGACAGTGGTGGTCCCGCTCCGCTACAACGAGTCCTACAGCCAACCAGTGTACAAGCCCTACCTGACCTTGTGTGCTGGAAGGCGCATTTGCAGCACTTACAGGTGAGGGATGAGGAGATGGGACCCCAAGAACCGCGACCAGGACCCGTCCTCAGGGTCCTGAGCCGGTCGCTGTGTTCCAGGACCACCTACCGCGTTACGTGGCGGGAGGTGAGGCGGGAGGTGCAGCAGACCCATACAGTGTGCTGCCAGGGCTGGAAGAAGCGGCACCCGGGGGCGCTCACCTGTGAAGGTGAGGCTGGGTCTTCCAGGCGCTGCGGGAGGCGCGCTCCACGGAGCTGGGGGCTATCGGTTCGAGTCTGAACCCCACTTCCTCTGTCCACAGCCATCTGCGCCAAGCCTTGCCTGAACGGAGGCGTCTGCGTTCGGCCCGACCGGTGCGAGTGCGCCCCCGGCTGGGGAGGGAAGCACTGTCATGTGGGTGAGTCGACTCAGCCTTCCCCAGCGAGGGCTCCCTGACCTCCCCACCTACCCAGGCGCTTGCCCCCGCCCCCTCTCTCAGCCCCTTCCTCTTTTCGGTAACTAGACGTGGATGAATGTAGGACCAGCGTCACCATCTGCTCGCACCGTTGTCTTAACACGGCCGGAAGCTTCACCTGCGGCTGCCCCCACGACCTAGTGCTAGGCCCGGACGGACGCACCTGCAAGGAGGGGTCCCCAGAGCCCCCAACCAGTGCCAGCATACTCAGCGTGGCCGGTGAGCGGGCAGGAGTACGGGCCACCGCGGCGACCTGGGACAAGCGTCTGGGGTCGGGCAGCGGTCACGCTCTTGGTCTCCTTTGTCCCTAGTTCGGGAGGCGGAAAACGACGAGCGGGCTCTGAAGCGAGAGATTCGTGAGCTGCGAGGGCGCCTGGAGCGGCTGGAGCAGGTGAGCCAAGCCTGCGGGCTGGGGCGAGGCCAGACCTCACTATCAATACCCTGAGGCAACTCTTCCTTTGTAGTGGGCCGGTCAGGCTGGGGCTTGGGTCCGAGCGGTGCTGCCCGTGCCGCCTGAAGAGCTGCAGCCAGAACAGGTGGCTGAGCTATGGGGCCGGGGTGACCGGATCGAATCTCTCAGCGACCAGGTGCTGCTGTTGGAGGAGAGGCTGGGTGCCTGTGAGTCCTCATGCTCCTCCCTGCCTTGACCTATATTCCCCAACTTTCCCCAAGACCCCTCCCTTTCGAGCATGCCCTCTTTTCTCCATGCCCTTCTCCAACATTCACTATCATACCTTCCCAGGATCTCTCCACTTCCCCATCCTTCTCTTCTGAAATCCTGTCTCGAGCCCAATAGTTCCACTTACTGTTTGGTGAGAGTGGCAGTGTAGTCCACTCCAGGCTGACCACAGCCAGTCTCTGTCATGTCATTAACCAGGCTCCTGTGAGGACAACAGCCTGGGCCCTGGCCTCAATCATTGATAAGGAGCCTCTACAGCACCCCTGCCACCTAATTTATACAGAAACTGGACTCACAAATCCTCTGGGCTTGGCCAACTATGAGCTGCAGATAAGGCTATCAGCCACCAAAGAGCAATGAGCAATGGAAACTTCAGAGAGCTGAAGGAAGGCGGAGGCTGGTGTTGTTGGCCCACCCCTGAGTCTTCTGGCTGGGGGCAGATTGCCTGGGCAAGAACTGTTTCTTCAATAACAAATGTAACCACCAAGCACCCAGATCTCTCTCTCTCTCTCTTTATTTTCAGTTTTTTGCTGTTATCCAGATAATAAAAACCATCCACGCAAAACTGAGTCCCACCCTCTCCTTTTGCTCCCAGCCTACCTCCCCAGTTGTGGGAACAGGTCTGGAGTGAGAGGGAGGGAGTGGTTAATGCCACCAGAAAGAAATGAAAACTGGCTCAGAGAGGGGGAAGCCTCAACAGAAAAAGAAATAAATTAAAAGCCCTCCTATCCTCTCCAGCCAGGGTTCAGTTCCTTTCCCCAACTTCCCAGGGAGCAGAAGTGAGCGCAGCACCTGATGTCTGCCTCTTCCCCTTGTGTCTGGTGAGATGGTGCAGCAGGGCTGCAGGGGGTTGGGTGGGGTCAGGACCATTGAAGAATGGTACCATGGGGATAGAGAAAAGCAGAAATGTGGAGACCGAACTGGTATCCTGGAGTGTGCATGACCCTGGGCATCTGGGCAAGGGCAGGCATGAGACCTCTGAATTAGAAGAGTCCAGCCCCCACTGACAGGAGGCTCCACTGGGAGGGAAGGTGAAGGTGCTGAGGAAACTCCCAGGTTGAGCCTGGGAGGAGTGTTCCAGGTATTGGCTTCTAGTCACAGGGCGAGAAGTCCTCCTCATAAACGGATGTGTCCATTGAATCCATGGACTTTGGAGTGGGGGAGAATTGTTCCACAGAATGGATGAGTCCACTGGCCAATGTGGGGTGGAAAGGAAGAGAAGACCACAAAGGAAGAGACTCCACTGGGGATGGAATGTTCCCCACCCTTGTGTAGGCTGAGCCACTGTGGATGAGGGGGAGGCAACTGTGCCACAGAGAAGATGGCAGGAGGTGGGGGTCAGAGTGGAGACTGCACCGAGGCAAGAGTCCATGGGTGGGGCCAAGAGGGGGCAGGAGTGGCACTGTATCCACATTTGCTTCAGAAGTTGAAGATTCCAAAGAGGAGAATAAGTGGGGAGAGGGGAGACAAGGAAGAGGGCTTGGCCCTGCTTCAGGGCCCACTGGGTAGGTAGGCGTGGGTAAGAAAATGGGGACAGTTGGGAGGAAAGCTCAGAGCCGGGGTTCACCCACCCCCCCAGGCTTCTTCAGATAGTCACCACCACCCCTGCCATCAGTGGAGATTTCCCGGAAAACAGTGAGCATGGAGTGCCGGACTCTGTCAGCCAGAGCTGGGACGTCATCTGGTGTCAGCCCTTCTGTGGGCACTGGGGGCAGCACCCGCACCTGACATCGTCCTGGGGCAAGGGGAGCACCATCATGGCCTGTCCACCCAGGTCTTTGCCCACAGGTGGGGCCCAGCTTCTGAGTGACACTCTCTTCCTCAACCTTTCAGTTCTCTTCCCCCAACCCTGGACAACCATCCCTGGGCCTGTTGGCTGCCACCAGTTTTCTGAGGCTCTTCTGTACAAAGCCTTCTCCAATCCCCAGTTCAGACATCTCCTCAGCACCCCTCCAGCTCCTCATCTGGACTTGGCATTTACTGCTGAATGAGTGTTACTCATTACAGCTTTGTGCACACAGGCCTTAACCTTTCCTGCTAGATTAATGACAGCATCTCTTGGGACTAAGTGCTACCTATCTGGCAGGGTATGGTCATGCTTGGTAAAGACTTATTGGCTGATGTGGGGTCAGGCTAGGTGACTGTGTGGACATCTCATGGCTCTGACACTGAATGATCCCCCTGCCTCACAGGGATGTCCTCCCAGCCTCTCCGGACACACCCTATCCAAGACCTGCTCAAAGCCCTCACCCGAGGTGAAGCGGCGCTCCTTCTTGCAGTAGAAGTCTTGGTAGGAGGACATGACTATGGGGACAATGGGAACCTGGGGAAGGGGTAAAGCAAATCAGTTCACAGCTCTCTTCTGAGACCCCTACAGTAAGCCCCTTCCCAGAGATGAGGGAATGGTATGGGTTAGCGGCTGAGTAGCAGAAAGGACAGCAGTAATCACCTGGGCCTGTACTGCAAGATGGAAGGCGCCACGTTTGAAGGGCAGCATGGAGCCGTTGTGGTTTCTTGTTCCCTCAGGAAATACCCAGACCCTCACCTGGGGGAGAAAGAGGGTCAAGGAAGACAAATACATATGGAGGAGTCAGAGTAGATGTGATGTTATAATGGGACCCCTGAGGCTCATTGGCCCTGCATATCAGTTTATTTACAACTCTTCTACTCTCTATCCCTCCAATCCCCCATTTCCCCAGGATGACTCACGTCCTGGGTGAGCAGGGTCTGGGCGACCTCAGACATGACACTGATGGCATCCCCCGTGCGCTTCCGGTCGATGAAGATGACTCCTGCCAACCAGCAGGCCAGCCCAGCAGAGCCAGCCCACAGTAGCTCACGCTTGGCAATGGGCACACAGCGGCCTGGCAGTACTTCCATCATCCCTTGGGCAGGATGGGGGTGGGTGAGGATCAGGGTGGAGGCAGAGTGTCACAGAAGGCAACCCACCTCACCCAGATCATCACCCACTCTGGTAGGGACTGGAGATGAAGGAGACTAGGCAGGGCGAGCCCCAAGTGAAGGAAAGGGTGACCAAAGGTATATGTACCCTGCTTATGAGAGCAGTTCTATCCCAGGGAATGAAGGCCTTAGAGGGAGGCAAGGGGGCAATGTCCCAGCGGAAGGGGAATTGAGGATCTCTAGGAGAGGAGATTCTAGGGAAGGTTCCAGCAGGGGACGTATGGCTGGGGGAGGTGTGCCCTGTGGTGGGATCTCACCAAGCAGGTCGAGAGAGCTCTGGTGGTTGGAGACAACAACATAGGGCTGCGAGGGAGGGAAGTGGTGAGCCCCTCGCACCTCCACTCGGATCCCGTACAGGTATTTGATGTGGAGCAGCATTAGACGCAAGATCCTGTGGGGTCATGGCAAGGGGTCCCAGTGGGATCCATTGATGTCCATCTGCATGCCTCAGCTCCCCCCACCCTGCTGTCTTTCTGACCATCTTTGCAGTCCTCTCCCCATTCTGACCACCTTTGCTGTCCTCTGGTCTCTCAGTCTGTTCCACACACACTGCGCCCCCTTCCCCCACTCCACTACTCACTTCATACCCTTAGGTTCCCTCATCGCCCAACACCCCTTGCCTCTCACTTCATGTTCTCGACGTTGCGTCCTCGCACGGCACACACAGGGATGGCCAGCACAGCCAGGAAGAGGATCCAGCCATTGTAGAAGGCCATCTTGAAGAAGTACTTGGCACTGGGGCTGCAGAACCACAGGGTGGGCAGCAGGAAGAGCAACAGCAGGAAGAACAGCAGCATCCATACCCCTGGCCACAACTCCATTCTGGCCACCTGCAGGGGATGGGGCAGGGGACAATCAGCCTGATTTCTGGAGGAGAGTGGGATAGGCAAGGCACATTAGCAGGGTTGGGGGTTGGTGCTATGAGGACAAGGGCCAGAGACACAGTTCCACTGAAACCTTCCCAGTAAACTCTCTAGGATGAGGGTGGTAGACAGGGAGCTCAGGAATGCTCTCCCACCCCTCTTCCCAAAAGCTCCTTATGTATTCAGACAAGAGGCACAAGACATGGACAACTACAACTCACAGATGTCTGATAATAAATGACAATAAGAATGATAGCTCAGCTGGGCACAGTGGCTCACACCTATAATCCCAGCACTTTGGGAGGTGGAAGCAGGCGGATCACCTGAGGTCAAGAGTTTGAGAACAGCCTGGCCAACATGGTAAAACCCTGTTTCTACTAAAAATACAAAAAATTAGCCGGGTATGGTGGCGTGCACCTGTAATCCCAGCTACTAGCGAGGCTGAGGCAGGAGAACTGCTTGAACCTGGGAGGCAGAGGCTGCAGTGAGCCAAGATCATGCCATTACACTCCAGCTTGGGCAACAAGAGAGAAACTCCACCTCAAAAAAAAAAGAATGATAGCTAATGCTTGTAGCTGGTAAGGTCTTATAATGGTCTATACTTGTGCTGCCCAAGAAGGTAGCCACCACCTACATGTGGCTACTGAGCACTTGAAATGCAGATAGTCTGAACTGAGATGTGCTGGGAATGTAAAATGCACATCAGATTTCAAAGACAGAATAAAAAACCAAATGTAAGATATCCCATTATTAATCTTTTATACTGACTACATTTTTATAATCTTTTGGATGTATCATATTCCAGAAAATATGTTATTAAAATTAATTTCACTCTTTTTGCCTTTTAAAAATGTGGCTACCAGAAAAAAAATTACACATGTGGCTTGCATTATATTTCTGTAGAACAGCACTGGTCTATACATTAAGTTAAACTCTTAAAATGATCCATACAATAGTCTTGAAAGTATTATTATTTACATTTTATAGTTAATAGGCCCAGAGAGGCTAAATAACTTACCTGAGGTCATACAGCTCCTAAACAGCAGTTTCTAGGTTAAATCTAAGCTGCCTGTGTTCCTAACTACTTGGTTACACTGACACCGGTAGGTACTGCACGTATATATACCAACACAGCACACAGCAGATATGGCGATAGTGACAAAGCACCCACAGCCATATACCCAGGGACCAAATAGCAAGATTAAAGGTTTGTGTCACTAATGCCAACACACAGTCATACAAGGATTAACATGTTCACACACAGACACAAATTTATAATTACGCCCAGTGACAGATAAAGGAATGTAAATGTATAACTAGAAAAATCCCTCTCCACCCAGGCAGCTGCCCCATTCCTAGGTAAACTCATGGACATACCTGGAATAGCTATAAGACCAATCCTACCTCCAGACAGGAACACAAATCCTACTACCCTTTTCCTTCCTTCTAGTGACACTTTGTGTGGGCAGGTACATTGTGTAAGTTCTCACCAAGTGAAAAAAGGAGGGCAGGGAGTAAAGGGGACATAACAGCACCTGCCCTGGCAGAGGAAACGGCTCAAGAGGAAGAGGGGCAGGAACACAGGTTTTTCCTCCTTCCTCCACTCTGCCCCACTGCTGGGGGCAGGGTAACAATTCACAAAAAGGGTGTTCAGGCCAATACCTGTCATTTCTACTGAGGCGACAGGCACTGTCTTCCCATGATAGGAAGGGCTGTGCTCAAAGGTAAGCCCATTGCCAAGCAAGAAGGTAACAGGCAATAGAGGAAACAGGAGACCCTGCCAGCTGGAATACTGTAGGCTCTCTGAGCTGCTCTATCCCACTGCCCCTACAAGTTCAGAACAGCATCATTTCTCCCCGGAATTATGTGCAGTAGGCTCCTAACTCCCTCCAATCCATCTTCCACGTAGCAACCACAGATGTTTTTCTGTTAACACAGAAAAAATATTAACACAAAGTTTTTTCTGTTAACACAGAGTTTTCTGAAACACAGAGCATTTCCCTGTCTTGCTTAAAGGCTCTTCTTGACAGGTTGACTTCTGCTTCGACCACATCCTCACAAAACGTTTTCTTTTTGCTCCAGTCAAACTGATTCACTTCAGTTCCTCAGATACCATGATCTTTAATGCATCTGCACCTTGAACATGCTGTTCCCTTTGGCTGGAATGCCCACCTCTTCTCCTGCCTCCCACAGTTCAGTGTCATCTTTTGGAGGTCTTCCTGAAACCCTGCAGGCCTGTGCTTTCATTACACTTTTATTCTGATCAGTGGGTCTTGAAGTGTAGAAATGCAAATTATTAGACCTCACCCGGATCCACTGAATCAGAAATTACGGGCATTAGGCCCAGCAATCTATTTTTCTTTTTCTAACTCTGTCACTGGATCAAGTGATCCTCCAGCCTCAGCCTTCTGAAGTGTTGGGATTACAGGTATGAGCCATCATGGCTGGCTAGCAATCTGTATTTTAACATGCCCTCTGGTGAGTCTGGTGTGCACTTGAATTTAAGAACCACTGATCTTGACAACACACTATGTGCTGACATTTTTGTTTCCCTCCTTAGGCTGTAAGCAGCTTAAGGACAGGGACTCTGTCTTATCTCTGATGCCAAGACAATAGGAGTTAGAGTAGGTGGTCAATAAACACTTGCTGAACAGATTTTAAGGCTGCATACACACCCACAGACCTACAATTAATGAGATGGCAGTTCTGATCACAAATCAGATAGTTACCCTCCTGAGTAGTATTGACTACTAAAAGCCACTGAGAAAGTAACGAACACACCAAGCCTAATGGTAACCGGCTCTGAATAGATCATGTAATACATGGCCATAATGAAGGCAGAGTGACAATAATCAGGAAGAGGTCATCTCACAAGAGAAATGTACAGAATGGGATCAACATGCCACAGGGAAAGATGCTGCTCTCATCAAATGTGCCAACAGTGCAAAGAATGGAGGATAATGTCCATAAATAAATACCAATGATGGGGTTCACAGCAGGGTTAACCCTGTGACATACACGGAGCTCGTGGACACAGACTGTACACAGCCACTGGAAAGATGTTTGTGTAGAGGGGCACAGGCCAGGGAGGTCACCGAGGTAAGGAATGCAGGGATGGTTCTTTGCAGACCTGGAGACTCAGTTACCTTCTTCTCTAACACTTGATATTAAGTGACCTTCTTTGGAGAACAAAAGTCGAAGGATTTAGAAATGCAATGGAGGGCCAAATTTAATGAGCATATAGCTCACAAAAGATACTGATGATAAATTTATAGCACACATTCTATGGTCCTGTTACCTCAGTGTATCATGCAAAGGGGCATGCACATGTGTGATGTGAACTGTGACTGGGAAAACATAGCAAACAGGCCAATTCAATCAAACGAGAGTGTGGGCTATTCAACCAAGCCATGGGATCCTACACATGAAGACTAGTGCATATGGTAGGACCATGGACATGTCAGCCAAAGCAAAATAAGGTCTATAACTTTCACATGCTGAAATAAACATGCAAAAAAACATAAAACATGCAAGTAACATGAAACCATAGATCAGGTGCGATACATGAAAACTCACACTCGTGGTACTTGAACATGTCAAAACTGGATGTGAGACATGGACACAAGAATGGAGAATGGGCAATTCTGATAGAAAATAACATAATTTCTACACAGCCTATGGATAGCATAGGGACAACCTAGTTGCACACAAGCCATTAAACATGTCAAAGGCACACAGACTCAATGTAGAAAACATGGCTCCCATAAGGCATTTGTGTGTCAGTAAGGGTCTAGCAGTGTGGAAAGCCACTGAGAAACAAGAGGTCCTGTGCCCAGATGGAAACAGAGGCACCTAGGGGTATTTTTAAGAGGCAAATTCTGCGGGCCTTCTCCCTTAATGACCCCTCAAGAGTCACGTGGGGTCAAAGGGCAAGAAAAGGAATTGAGGAAGGTGTAGAGAATTCCCACTCCAGGATTCCCTGTGCACACTCCCAGTCCCAAATTCACAAGGGTTTCCATTTCTCCTCCCTCCCGTGTCTCTTCCATCCTTCCTCCCTCTCAGGTCCCCTCTCCTTTCCCCAGCAACCCTCTTCCCAGGCGGCCCCTCTCCTTTCCCCAGCAACCCTCTCCCCCAGTCGGCCCTCCCAGACCCAATTTCTCCCCTTCCCCTCATCCTAGTCCCTTTCAGCACCCTCCTCCCTCCTCCTCCCATCCCTTTCCCGCCCACACCTCAGTGGGGTGGGGGGCCTGGGGGGCTGGCCCCCTCCCCAACCAGGCTGCGGCAGCGGTGGTGGCGGATGGCTGTGTCTCTGTCTCTGTCGGGGTGTCGGTGCCAAGGGGGCGACGGGATTTGGGGGTGTCCTAGCCCCTGCCGATGGAGGGGAGGTGGGAGTGGGAGGTTGGGCCCATAGCGGTAGGAATGGTGGGGGGTTGTCCCCCCAGCACCCTCCCTCCCTCCCTCCCTTTCTGCTGTCTCTCTGAGGGCTGGGGCTGCTGCTGCCGCTATTCCCCCTCCACCCCTCCCCAACGCCTGCTGGTTTCCGGGGCTGGCCAGGAAGTGGAGGGCGGTGATGGGCAGCCCGTTTTGCCAATCGTTTCCCAGAAACTCAGGCGCCCCCCCCACCTCCTCCCCACCTCTACCACCAATATCCTTTTGCGAGCCCCGCCCCAGGACAGCTCAGCTGCGCTTTTCCTCTGTCTGTGCTCTTCCCTGGCTCCAGCTGCATCTTTTTTTCTCTAACCCCCTTTCGGCTCTGGATCCTTTGGTGCTGTATTCCTCCTTCGGCACATTCCTTCCTTTATTCTCCATCAGCTCTCTTTTTACTGCCACTTTTACTTGGTCTCTTTTTTTCTCAACTCCGGTTATCTGCTGCTTATTCCCCTCAACTATTCTCAAGGACCCCTTTTCCCGTCCCCCATTCAATTCTAAATATTTATCAAGCACCTACCTACCAGTGCCAAGCATTAAGTTCACCTCTCTTTTTTTTCTCTCCAGGGCTCCATCTCATCTCACCTCACTCTCCAGCCCTCTGGTCTGGTTTCTTTGCCCTTTGTCCCCCGCTATCTCCCAGCAGTCCATCTCCCCTCCTCCACCTACCCTCTCTGATCTGTAAAGAGATCTCTTTAGCCTTATCCCTTACCCTTTCCTTTCCATGCTTTTACCTCTGTACTTTTTTTTTTTTTTTTTTTTAAAGACGGGGTTTCACCGTGTTGGTCAGGCTGGTCTTGAACTCCCGACCTCAGGTGATCCGCCCGCCTTGGCCTCCAAAGTGTTTGGATTACGGGCGTGAGCCACCATGCTCGGCCTATCTCTGTACTTTTTCTTTCCTACTTCCTTCCTATCAGTCCTTACTTGCCCAAGCTGAGACAGCCCCTTCTCACAACATACAATATGGGTACATCTTTTCTTCCAATGGAAATTGGGCTTTAGGGCTGTTTTGTAGAAAAAAAGTGAGGAAGAATGACGATTCCTCGCTAGCCATGTATCTAGTTTTCCACCCCCTCTTCTCTTCCTCCACTCCCATTATCCCTTTAATAGGATCATTCCATCACTTCACTCTTCATTTCCACCTTTCCCTCTCAGTATTTTCCTTCCTAAACCTTGTTTTCACTTGCCCCAGTCCTTCTTTACGCAACTGCTAACTTCTCATCTTTCCTTACTCTTGAGTCACATGGGACCTTTTATCAAGGTCCCGCCTCTAGCCACACCTTTACCCTTCGTGAGTTACATGCCCTCGGGAAGAGGACTGGTAGTGGGAGGGCTGTTAGCTAGTTTTGCTCCTTAGGCCACAGTGAGGGTCAGTGATTATAGGAAAGGCCCAGACTCCCAGGGGTCCAGCCCTGGTAGACTCTATTTCTGCTGGGAAAATTATAAGGAGGAAGGGGCGGGTCTAAACCCCGCGGGTCTCCCTAAAAGGGGCGGACCTTGCCCCTTCTGCACCACTCACAAAGGGGGTGAGGCCAGAGCTTTTCTGCTCTTAAGGTTTAAAACAGAGTTGAAGTCAATCCTGTTTTACTCTGTGCCACATTAAGAAACGGGTGGATCTTTAGTTTGGTTTTGCTCTGTAAATCACCTAAAGTGGGGAGGGCTGAGTCGTCCAGCCGAATGCGTTGGGTTAACACCAGCGCCGCAGATCGATGTTCTCACTATCCAAACGTCGGGCTTATCCCAGTTCGGCTCCCTTCACAAAAAGGGAGTGGCAGACCCAAGCTCTGCTCTCTACGTCACCCAAGAAGGCTGAAGCCATTTTGAACCCTGCGACCCTAGCGTTTCCCTCTTTCCCTAGCTCTTCGCCGTCTTTCCCAATGCCGGCCAATCAGGGGCGAAGGAAAAGGTCCAATCAGCAGAAAGTCCACAGCTGAAGGACCCGGATGAAACGAGCCGAAGACTTTGAACTGCGAACCTCGCCAACTGTAGAGCGGTCACCATAGCGATAGATAGGGGTGAAGGGGTGGAACAACAGAAGGTTCAACCCTCACAAGACTGGCCCACCCCCGTCTCGCCGCGTGCTGCGCCGGCGCATTTTACTTAACCATCATTTTCCGTCAAGTTCTAGCCAATGAGTTGCTTTGGAGCCTTACGCTCCAAAG